GGTTTCTTCTCTATCCATCTATTTTTTAATAAACAAAGCGAATTGTTAAATTGTTAATACTAGAAAATTAATAATTCTTCAACTCGAACCTTTATAAAAATGTCTCAACGACCATCGTATCATTCATTCATCTTTTTCTAAAAGGCGCTTATATATTACTGCTGAACAAAACGCAGATTTAACAAACTAGTCCTCAACCAAAAATAAGCGGGCCTAACGTTTCAATTAATGAAGCCATAAAAGACTTTTGAAACTGCATTTAATTTTCTAGTATTACTATTACTAATTGTCAAACATGCTTGACTGCGCCTAAATTAGGCCTAGACCGTTACATCCTTAAATGGTTAAGCTCAACTAAAAATGATCTTTCCGTTTAAGGCAATGAAGCTTCAATAGCTTTGCATGTGACCTCTAATAAATCCACGGGTTATCTTTTGAAAAAAATACATGCTCTTCTGGTATAATCAGAGATCCATAATTTTATACTATGTTATCAACTAAAAATTTGCAAGCTAATCTTTTCTTCATCATTCATGTATATTTACTGCAATGCGATTTATCGCATGGTTTACAACATATAAATTGGCGAATTTAAATGTTATTGATGACACCTGGTTTATTGTTCCATAAAGCAAATCAAAGTATCTGTAATGAACTAAAATTAAATCTACCTAAGATTTGGTATAAATCCAAAGGTTCAATACATCTAATGGTAATTGGATTGGCTTACAAAAATTACATTTACTTTTCAATCTAAAGCAAAAATAAATTACATCAAGTTATTAAAACCTACTTGAAACGAGTAAGTTCTAAAATGACAACAGGTTTTGAGAAAGAATTATATTTTTGTAAAGCACATGCTTTATGAATGTTGATCGGAAAACATTATGAAATAACAATAAAAATATTAAAATTTAATTAGGAACTAGAGTGCTCGAAAACACCACACCAATGGAATACTGTGGAACCAATGGACGGAACCAATAAATATTTTATAAAAATATTAAATATTAAAATATTATTACCTGGTTATTGTTATTATTTGAAAATAAACAAAAATTTCAGTTGATTGGTTCAAATAATCTTTCTAACTTTCATTTTACTTCTTTATTATCAGCTGGATGAATCTCACATCTTGACAAAAATTTTAACTCATCATTCATCATTAAAGTTGCTAAGATGTTGCAACTTGGGATGTTGCAACCGTGTTGCAGAATTTAGAACACAAGAGCGGTAATACAAGAGTCTGGAATCAAGATGTTGCAACCTAGGTTGCGACCAATTGCAGACACCAACTTTAATCATCTTCTTCTTCACCATCACTCCCATTATTACTATCATTATAAGTTTCCTTCAAACCAAAAGTTTTCAATCATCATTCTCCAACTAGCAAGGCAACTCTTGATTTGACTGATTTTTCCTCATGTGAAAAGTTTTTCACTAATACAAGCTTTACAAACTTTGCAGACAATTGTTTCGTTACCATAATATCCTTTTTAGCGCAATAAACTCATAAAAATCATGCGAAGGTTTTCTACAAATGGAAAAAGAGAAAAAAAAAATAATTTGATAATAATTAAAAAAATGGCAGATTTTCCAGTGTTACGTTGGTTCTGAATGGACTCTAGTTCCAATGTCTCCAGTGTTCCAGTTCAAGTAACTTACAATCATGGACCGATGGAACATATTTATTAAAAATTTAAGTGTTTAATGTAATAAATATGTAATAAATTTATTATAATACCTCATAAAATATTCGTTCAATTCATTCAAACTTTGCACCTAACTCCATTGTTAACATGTAAATCATGCATGGTGTTATACATCCATCCAACATGATACGAATTCTGTTTTTTACTTCCTTAGAAATCTCATGAGGATGTGTAGACGAATCCTCGGCCAGATCTTGATAGAGAGCATTCCAAACTGAAGACGATAAATCAGAGTATTAAAATAAAGATTATTTATTTATTTATAAAAAAGTGTATGTTCTTTAAATAAATAATGCTTCTCTGCAATATTTTTTTCATTGTTCTATATAGTAAAAATTTGGCATCATTTTATTTTCTAAGGCAATCATTTATGATTCAGAGCTTTTATACCTTGCCGATAAATCCTCCAAATAAAGTTCAATGTTCCAAATAATTACCATGGTAATAACGGTAAATTGCAGATGGCACTCCAAAAATTTTTTGTTACTAAATTAATAAAATCCTTAATTGTAATTTCACTCTGTTATCATCACATTAATGAAATTAAATATATTTTCTGGTAGATAATCAATTGTCTGAATGAATGTTCATCCAAATAAGAAATTTCATTAAATTTTCATTCACTATTTCGAATTAAATCATTATTAGAATAAATAATTTTCATTTAATTATTAACAGGATTCGAATATCTTTACTTTCCCAAGATTGAGAAATGCATGATTTAATTGCTTTAATACAATTTTCAAGATCGGCTGATTCTCTTGGGTGGCTTGTAAAATAAAGCTGATTATATACTTATTTTGATATTGTGATAAAAATTTATCTGTCAATCACTTTAAATCAAAGATGATGATTGTGTTCACTATTCAATACACCACAATAAATCAGTTAATCTATTAACGAGAATTGTTTCCAATTGATTCATGAAAACCCACCATTCCAGCCAAGTAATGAATGTTCCAACATGTTAATTAGATGGAAGTTTTAAAACTTTTATAGCTCTCTGTAATGATTTTATGATTTTAATGGGTTCAATTATCATTTTTTCTGTTGTAAAATGTTTTCAGAATTAAATAACTTCTTTTTTCATCGATTTTCTGTGATTGGATAATTTTATTGCTACGCCGATCATTACTGCTAATAAATTTTTAATAATTCCTCCTATACATTCAATTCATCAAAACACTAGATTGAAAACTACTATTGCCATAATAATGACAAAAACACGCGTAATAAAATGCACAAATACCTCTGTATAAAAATAATATCCAGGTGACAAACTTGAGGGGAAAAAAACACATCCCACGTTGAATTAAATATTTTTGTTCATAAATAATATATTTATAGAACATTATGTCTTGGTATTGTCCAATGCATCATCTAGCACTTATTCCTAGATTATGCAACACTATTAATTTTTGCCTAATGAAAGAATTTAACATTGTTAATAGATGCCTGTTCATTCAAAACACTTGTCATAATAAGACACCACTATGATGAGACATAACAATAATCATATCTTCTTTTGGTCTTTTGACTCCTTTTACACTGTAGAATTATAAAATATTTTTCAAAGCATAAATTTATGTTGTTGATGTGTAAAAAAAGTTTAATGAGAAATAAGTAATAGAAATATATTTACTTTTTTTGAATGTTTGAAAGTGTTATTCATCTAACTTCCTAACCATTCACATTACTTTGGTAGTATATAGAATAAAGGTAGGGAAATCAAAGGCATGTAAAGTTATATTATCAGCGACGTCATGATTTATAAAATTAAACACCCGCGCTTTTTTGATTGCCATTTTAGATCCTTTTTGTTTGTAATGTTATTAGTTCTTAATAATAAGCTCTAACGTTTCTCAATAGACAGCCAACAAGATAACTCCTATCGAGATCAATATAAATGCCTAACAAAACCAGAATTGACAATGTCAGTTAGTGTATTAGTTATATACAAGAAAATAAAAAAATAAACTTACATACAGTTTTAGATGGTGATGTTTGTGGTATGGTATTAAGATGGAATTGAATATCATTAACATGCTCAAAGACAAATACACAGTATTAGATTTCCATAATAAGGATGTAATGATGCAAAACAAGATGAAGACATGATTTAATTAACCCATTAGATCTCAAATGGAGAAATCAAGTATCAACAATGCAAAAATCTAATACAGTAAGTTGGTTGCAACTGAAAAGCAAATGGTGTGTATACACATAAAGAAGTGATGGAGCAATTCATTTTCAAAATGTGAGGAATATCTATAGATAAAGTGGTTAAATGTAAGAACGGTTATAATAAAATATGGACAGATACTATCAACCCCTCACAGATAAAAATACTATCAATTTTCAAAAATATTGACAAAACTCATGAAAAAAATTAGAAAACTCATTTGGAGAATTTTGTGCAGGAAAAAATAAGATCTATTGTTGCTGCTATGAGCTCAAATTACCCCCAATGTTCACCTTGTGCTTAGCATCATCATTAAAAGAAAAATAATACTTGTATTTGATGGCACGCAATGTATAGTGAGGCATGTTTTAATATTAATGAAAACAGAAAAAAATTGAAACAATTTTTTTATGGTGGCTTTGTTATGAATATATCAAATTCATCACTATTGAATTCAGATAATAAATTAGTTGGTGTCATGCACTTAGTTAAAGCAGAGTTAGCACTCCTATTGGACTGAACACATCCAAGTCCAATGCATCATTGGACATATCAATGGACGTAATATGATTTTGCCATAAATTTGCAAAAAAATTTTTGATTAATGAAAATATTAAAATAACAATTTTGTTTTTATTATCTAGAGCTTTGGATAAGGTGGTGTAGGGAGTTCTTTTACAAATAAACTACTTGAATTCCGTTTTGCACTGTTGTCATCTCCAGGATGAACATTATTAGCAAAGAATTGATAACATAAACATCAATGTCAACATTTAAAAACTTTCTTCATTTAAGATTGTTAGGTTCAGAATATTTTCATATTGATATTCTGACCTAAAATGTGGACAACTCCTAAGGTGTCTTTTGCATTCTTCTTTTTGTATTAGTGAACTTATTGGCAATTGAACCTTCATTACCAAGCATATTTTTACATTGATAGCAAATTGAAAGTTTGTTTGACTTGTTTGCCTGTTCATTTAAAGCAATGCTTTGGTTTTCCACCAGAATGTGTGTCATTTTAAGATTATTTTTTATTTAGGTAATGATTTACATAAACGGGACCAACAAAGCTGCGCAAAAATTACCCATGGACAACTTGGACATATATGTCTAATGGTCCAATGAGAAAGTCATTGGACATTGTCCACTGCCAACTCGGGGTTAAAGAGTTGTCAGTAAAAACAAAAAATCAAGTTAGTATTGTAAAATCATCCTCAACGTTGAAGAAAGAGCCAATACAAAAAGTGGATAAATTGATCGATAACTGCTTATTAAACGAACAGAAAAGTTTCACGGTGGTTTTTATTTTGGTTTCATGGTTGTTGTACGAATTAATTTGCAAAAAAGACAATTCCATTACTCTGGTTTAGATACGTATACAATAATGACTAATGGGGCTTAGCAATTTTAATTGTAGTATTAAAGTAGAAGTTGGGACTAAAGTTTAAATGCCATACCATACACGTACAAAAGTGCTAGGATTTCAAAACTGGAAATTTAAAATTATCGAATAAAAAATATTTAATTAGATGATGATTGATGTCGAAATATGTGACTCGATTGACAATTAGACAACAACAATATTCTCTTTATTTTAAAAATAGCATGTGCGCGAGCTTAAAAGGTTTTGTGGAAAACAAAATCTGAGACAATGGAAGAAACCAAAGGGATTAATTTAAAATAGAAGCCTGCTACTACCAAAGATACATGTTTGCTGGCTTAATTATAATGGTGATATGTTATAAACAGTTCTGCTGTAAATATCAATTAATCGAAAGCAAAATATCACGTATGAACAATAGACCCTCTCCATACGATAAGAAATAAGAGTGGAATCACACAGATTCAGCAGATATGAATCATTTCATAGTTATGTATGTTAAGCTAATTAGAAACATGATCGATGAAGATAAAACAGACCATAAAAATTAAAAATTTGAACCCCTTTTTTTACAATGTATAAGCTGCAGTTTCAAATAAATAAGCGTTTATATATTAATATGTATTTTTGTTTCCGTTATAGATAATTAGATAAAAAGGTTCATGTGGCATAATCGATAACAACAAACAACTTATAAAAAAAAATGCCAACTGCTAATGCTAATTAATGAAACAATCTTTTTTCCGTAATAAATATCTCGAACATGTCCAAGGACTACTGTTATCAAAAAAAAATTGTTTTTTTGTGAAATGACTAATGAATTATTAGCTTGAAGCAATCAATTAATTTGATCGATAATGACAAAACAAATGACAATAAAGAAGAAAATGTGTTTCCCTTAAAATGTTTTCCTACTCTCAGTGCACAAAACACAAGGTTTAACCTTGTCACACATGACCGCAACCATATATTTGTCCCGGGACAAATCTCCTGAGATTCTACAGAAATATTATAATTCGATTATGATTTGTTTAAAAATTGATAGGATGTCGTAAAAGATTAACGTGATCAATCAAGTGGGTTCAGGTCAGTTGGTCAGACGAAATCAATCCTGTACTTAATAATGATAATAAATAGTAAAAGCTCATATTGCATTCCTCCCACTCGTAAACTTGTTAATATTTAACATTTTGAAAAGGGAAAAGAGCATAGCAAAAAAAAAATATGAAACGAGCAATGTTAAATCCAGCACATAGACACGCAATTGCCAACTTGCATTTTTGAATTATACATTATTAGTAATAAGTTTTTAAAACAAACAAAATATGATAAGGTTCCTATTATTTTTATTTGTTGAATGTTCCTTGATCAGATTATCTAATACTAAGAAAATAAATGTTACCTGGGTCCAGCTGACTAATATAGTGCTTTCCATTTATATTTTTTTAATAATTTAAATAAATCATCGCACTGATTATTTTTTCCTAATAATATTCATCATAGTAAAATGAATTCTTCATTTAAAATAAATAATGTAACAATTATAGTGTAACAAACTTCACTCACTATCAAATATCAAATCGAAATTTATTATGTTGGGGATTCAAAATTCAAATTCATGCACAACACATATACAAAGGAATTATAAATCGTGGAGAAGAATTTATAATATAATGAAATGGGAGATTTTCCAACTTCATTATATAGTACGAGTCACTATACAGTAGGTTCACGATATCGAGCGCTAACTGTATGTAATAATTGTAAATATGAATTTTGTAGAAAAGTTTTATTACAATTAAAAAATAAAAAACCAGATAATGATACTATTGAAGCTGATAATGGTGGTAATAAAATCAAAGATGACAATAATTACAACGATGAAGATTTAGATTATAAGAGTGGAAATTCTAAAGTTGATTTATTTATTGAAGAAACACTAAAAAAATCTGTAGGTTGTAACGATTTTATTGAATGGATTCCCATTAAAAGAATAATCAACCTGCATTTCCTTACCTCTGGTGGAAATTCAGAAGTTTATGCCGGCAACTGGATGTTACCAGGTACTCATTCTAAAACGGTTGTAATCAAAGTTTTAAAAGATTCAAAAATTATTAATGATAGGATTTTAAATGAGGTAAAGAAATATTATTATTTATTGAAATTCTTTTTCATTTAAAATCTAATTTATCATTATGTTCAAATTTAAAAGTTTAGAATTCATTATAGATGTTATCTTGCCAACAATAATTTAATAATCCCATTTTATGATATAACATATCATGGATCTGATAAAAATTTCGCAATGATATTAAAAAAAGCAGAACATGGAGATCTTAGGAATTATTTATACAAACATCGTTATTTAACTTGGTCAGATAAATCAAAATTACTTTTAGATATTGCAAAAGCTTTGAATTCAATTCATCAAATGAAATTAGTTCATAAAGATTTCCATTGTAAAAATATTTTAGTTGATGTTGGAGCTAAAATTTATATTGGGGATTTTGGATTATGTCAACATGAAGAAGAAATTCAACGTAAATAATATATGCAATTATAATTTTTATTTGTTTTTTATTTTCTTTACTAATAATAATTTTAAAATTAGAATCAAATATAATTGAAGGTGTATTACCATATATCGCACCAGAAGTACTGAGAAAGCATCCATACACTAAAAAATCAGATGTTTATAGTGTTGGAATGATAATGTGGGAATTGGCAACAGGGGAACGACCATTCGCGAATCAAACTCATAATGCTGGAATGGCTGTATCAATTGTTAAAGGAGATAGACCCCCAATATCCAATGATATTCCTACTCCTTATGTAGAAGTAATGAAAAATTGTTGGAATTCTGATCCCGATAAAAGACCTGATTCATATCAATTAATTAATTTGTATGAAACCTTAATTTCAACCGACCTTAATGTTCTTATCTTTCATTCAACATATAATGAAGAAGATCTCGGAAGCAGCTTGAATGTTTTTCAAAAAAAAGAAGGTAATGTTCAAATAAACAAAATAAATCAAAATAGTAAAAACCAAAAACCGATGATTTTGTTTTCTTTAATTAAAAGATGATAGAAACAAAGATAAAGAAAAAAATAAAAAAAGAAAAAGTTTTATAAATGAAGAAGGCCTTGGAAACAGTTCGAATGTTTTTCAAAAAAAAGAAGGTAATGTTCAAATAAACAAAATAAAAAATAAAATATAAAAAAACTAAAAAGCAATGATTTTGTTTTCTTTAATTAGAAGATGACAGAAACAAGGACGAAGAAAAAAGTAAAAAAAGGAAAGGTTTTATAAATGAAGAAGACCTTGGAAACAGTTTGAATGTTGTTCAAGAAAAAGAAGGTAATTTTCAAATAAACAAAATAAAAAAAAAATAGAAAAAACTAAAAACAAATGATTTTGTTTTCTTTAATTAGAATATATAACAAGAGCGCTAGACTATACTTTAACAATACGTAAGAAATGTTGTCTATTACTTAAGACGAATAGGAATAGTAATTATTATATTAGTAATAGTCGTCCAGTTTATGAAGATGAAAGATACATTACTCAAAAATATAATTTTACTGTGAATGGTATGTTGAAAAAAATTTTCTCTTTTTTAATTGAGGAGTTCATTAAAGTTTTAATAAAAATGTATTCAATTACAGACTTGCTGTCAACATTAAAACCAAAAACCAATGTTTGGTCTTATTGAACATCATGTTATTATTATTATTATCGAAATTTACACTATTATTATTATTATTATTATTATTATTATTATTATTATTATACTTTAATTTATATTATATTTGACTTTAGGCATGGGTTTAGCAAACTATTAATTAATTTTCATTGTAACATTTATATTAATATATAACTAGAATGATTTTATAATTAAAAATGATTTATTATTTATGATTTATTTAGATTAAATCTCACAAATGTTTTGTTGT